TGAGGAGAGGGTTAAGACTGCGTTGGTGGACCAACCCGGTCCTAGTTCTTGTCCTCTTAACCGTTTGTTTGTGCCTCAGGTTTTGAGGGCTGAGGTGCTTCAGTGGGCTCACAGCTCCAGACTTTCCTGCCACCCTGGGATTCAACGTACCAGAGGGATGGTCTTGCAGCGGTTCTGGTGGGCTACGCTGGAGGCTGACACCCGGGAGTTTGTGAACGCCTGTCCTGTGTGCAATCGGCACAAACCCTCTCACCAAGCGCCAGCTGGCCTCCTTCATCCATTACCGGTTCCACGTCGCCCATGGTCACATATTTCGTTGGACTTTGTGACTGGTCTTCCACCGTCCCACGGACATACTGCCATCTTGACGGTGGTGGATCGGTTCAGTAAAATGGCTCACTTCGTACCCCTGCCTAAGATCCCGTCAGCTAAGGAGACGGCTGAACTTATGCTTCTCCACGTTTTTCGCCTTCACGGACTGGCGACTGATGTGGTTTCCGACCGGGGGCCCCAGTTCACCTCTGTGTTTTGGAGGGAGTTTTGTGAACTGATCGGGGCGACGGTCAGTCTCACCTCCGGTTTCCATCCACAGGCCAATGGTCAGACTGAAAGGAAGAATCAGGAGATGGAGACCACTCTCCGCTGCATGGCTTCCGATCATCCTACGACCTGGTCTAAACAACTCCTGTGGGTGGAGTATGCCCACAACACACTCATCAGTTCCGCTACTGGTCTTTCCCCTTTTCAGTGTGCATACGGGTTTCAACCCCCTTTGTTCTCTGCATTGGAGAAAGAGGTTACCTGTCCGTCTGTCCAGGCCTTCATCAGACGTTGTCGGAGGACTTGGAGGCGGGCTCGAACTACTCTGCTTCAGTCTGCTAACCGGTACGCCACATCAGCGAACCGCCGACGCACCAAGGCACCTGTGTACCAGCTAGGCCAGAGGGTGTGGCTTTCCACTCAAAACATTCCCCTTCGGGTGGAGTCTAAAAAGTTAGCGCCCAGATTTATTGGACCCTTTGAGATCGTCAAGGTCATTAACCCTGCAGCAGTTCGACTGAGTTTGCCCCGGAACATGAAGATCCATCCCACCTTCCACGTGTCTAGGATTAAACCTGTCCGGGAGAGTCCTATGATTCCCGCCGCTCCCCCACCACCACCCCCTAGGATGATCGATGGGGGTCCGACCTATACCCTTCGTCGTATACTTCGTTCCCGACGCAGAGGAAGAGGGGTTCAGTATTTGGTGGACTGGGAGGGCTATGGTCCTGAGGAGAGGCAGTGGATTCCTGCTCGTCACATCCTCAACCCTCAACTCATCCGGGACTTCCACCTGCGCTACCCGGAGCAGCCTTCTAGGACCCACGCTCAGCCAGGCGTTAAGCCGGGGGGTACTCGTCGGCTACGGACCGGGGGCTTCATCGAGGAGGAGGGGGAGGCGTCTTCAGTCGAGGAGGACGAGGATTTCCAGGAGGGGGAGGCCGAGAGAGCATTCTCAGATGAGTATTAACCTTTCCCATACCCCCACCTTCCACCCGGTGTCTGTAGGTTTTTTGTTGATTTTTTATTTATTTGTTTTTTTCCCCGTAGGTTTGTCTTGGACGTCGGGAGCCGTCCATTAAGGGGGGGGTTCTGTCACAGTCTGCTTTCTCACTCACCTATTTTCTGCATTAACATTCCTTAGTCACCTGGTAGCCACACCCTGTCTCTCTTTCACTCTGTTACACCCATCAGCTCCAGTAGTATATAGGCCCACTTCACTCTCACCTCAGTGCCAGATCGTACTTTGCAGCATGCCAGTCTTTCCAGCATTACTTCCCAGATTGCTCTCCCGGTTCCGACCCTGCCTGTCCCTGACCTGCCTGCCTCGCCTGATTCCTGACCCTGCCTGTACCCGGACTATTCTGCCACGCCTGCTCCCTGACCCGGTCGGTACCTGCGACTCCTGTCTTGCCTTCTCCTGGAACCCTCGCCTGTCCCCGACCAGCCCTTTGCCTACTACCTGCCTTTTCGTCTCCTACCATTGACTTCAATAAAGCTGGTTACAGACTATCCCTGGTTTCCCCGTGTTTTGCATTTTGGTCCTCAGCTCGTTTGTGACAGATAATAATCCAATGCAGAGCCAATAATGTAATATAATACATTATTTAATATATATTATATATTATATATATGTATATTTATATAGAGAAGCCAAGACTGTGCAAATATGTCATCAAGGCAAAAGGGGGGTCATTTGAAGAATCTAAATGATAAATCATATTCTTGATTTGTTAACACTTTTTTGTTTACTAGATAAATCCATGTGTTCTTTTATAGTTTTGATGTCTTTAGTATTAATCTACAATGTAGAAAATTATTAAAATAAATAAAAACCTTCGATAGTTTTAAAGGTCAACTCAAAAGAATGGTTGAGAAACAAACAGACGTGCAATCACCCCTAAATGCACTTTAACACAGGGGTCTCTCCTCTTGTATCTTCTCTTGCACTTTAGGTAGCTCTTGTATCTTCTCTTGCACTTTATATGTCGTTGCTGCTATATTGTATTACCATGATGTCATAAATACTTTTATTACATGGCTTAGTTGAATACTCGATTCTGATTGGTCAATTCAGAACACGTGACACGTTGTTAATCCAGAACAGACAGACCGCTGTCAAGGATTTATTGACCGTTGTTAAGGACGCTTACATCTGCAGAAAGAAGTTCGGTCGATTTAACTGTATACAGTTTGAAACTGGGACAAGAAAAACAGCGGAGAAGTAACGGGGCAGAAACCCTACTTTTTACGCAATGGTCCAGACATAGACATAGACGGCAAAACATATCCAGTTGCCAGTTACTTTGGCAAGTTACTTTGGCATTAGGGCAGGGATATCTAGATACTTTCCAAGGTTTGACATAATGAATTGTGCTACTTTTAAAGCAAGCAGCGATGTTTTCAAATCTGTAATCAAAAAGGTCCGCAAAAACGCTGCCGTTGCTACGTAGTTCAAACGGTAACAACGGACTATTTTTCTTAGCGGATGCATGTAATTTTAAATAAATAATAGCGTACTATTTTTTAAATCAATAAAAACATTTTCTCAATCTATAAAAGCATTTCAATTAATATTGGGAGTCATATCGTTACTTTGTTGAGAATGATCCCTTACGTGTATGCTGCTCTTGCTCTTTTGCACTTTTTGCATATCATGTATTCTGTTTTTGCTATGTTTGTAAAATGTAAACTTCTTAAATGTTTTATGTGAGGGACTGCGGATGGAAATGAGCTCAAAGCTAAATCTGGCACTGTTACGCTTGACACATTTTAATGTTTTAAGTGTTCATTATTGTGCATTGTCCCTGCCAAATAAACGATTAAATGAAAATGAAATAAATGAATGAGAAGGTGTGTCCAAACTTTTGACTGGTACTGTATATTTATAAAGTTACAACCGGCCCTTTGAGTGTAACCATAATGCTGATGTGGCCCGCGATGAAATTGAGTTTGACACCCCTGCCTTAGATGATTGTTGCACAACTGATTGCAGCTTATATTAAACCACTAGCTATGCAGTGTCCATGCAAATTCTCATCTTTACATCATTTCCGTACAAAAATCAGTAGTGAGACAGGAGCAATTGTACAACTGTGCATTGTAAAGCAATCATCTCCAGAATCTCCTTTTTTCCAGAGAACTCTGCAGAAGAAGAAGCCCTTTGATCACTCACCCCTTCATCCCCATCTGAATGCCATCGCATATCTAAGAAGAAGAGAGGGTTGCATATCGAAATATCACACTCACACATTTCTAATATGCCAAGGCGTTCATGTGAAGGGGTTTTTGCAAGTTTGTTGCCCTAAAAAAAGTAATCAATGAACAAGCTATATTTCAAAACTATACATACACTTGGAGCATATTCTACATTACTGTTTACTATCTGGTGGAAGAGTCAGGGAAAGTGCGATCATTTATCAAACACTGATGGTAATCGTTGAGCAGTTTGTGCATGAATCAGTTCTTGGAGTATGTAAATATTTGTATTGAGATATTTATTTTGGACTGAGTCTTATTCATGAGGGTGTTTAACTGTGTGTGTAATATAAAATATGTGAGGAAACGCACTGATAAGCACATTACAAACTCATTTCAATTTCAAAACGCTTGGACCTCTTTTTACTTCCCAAGAAGAAAATTTGTTTTGCAGAATTTGTCACTTTTACACCAGGTCTATAAACATAAAGAGGTGCTTGCAATTATATGAATAGTGCAAACAGTTATCTATCGTATTAAAAAAACCATTTTGAGCAGTTAATACTACATCTTCTTCCTCCTAATGACTTGTAATGTCGTCAATTCATGGTGAACGTAAAGAATATTATGATATAAATAAAAAGCTTCTACATCCATCCTTTAACTCACATGTGTCAAACTCAAGGCCCGGGGGCCAAATCAGGCCCTTGGTGGATTTAATTTCGGCCCGCAGGATAATTTCTAATTAGTATTAGATCTGGCCCGCCGGTATATTGCACACACATCTTCACTCAATCCTGAGGAGCTCCTCCGCTCAGAGCCTGAGCCCAAACATTGATGAACTTGCACCCAAGATGAGATGCCAAGTATCTGGCTTGAACTAGCTTCACAGCAGCAAGCTGAGTTTCAATGGAAGTTTCCTTCTGCCCTTTTTTTTCTTGCGACAACAGGGCATGTTTGTTTCTTTGAGGGACATTTTTTTGAAGTTGTTGTTGGCCTGTGGAGAAATGTAATCATAAGAAATGACTCCGGAAAAGCTGCAGATAGAGCCATAAGAAATGAATGCAACTGATTATTTAATGTTGTTTTTATAGGCAATAATTTAAGCTTTGTTAGTTCCAGGTTTAATATGTGCAATAAGTTCATTTAAATAAGTTTTGCAATAAACATTGAACCAGTCCGGCCCTTGACTAGTACCTATTTTTTTAATGTTGGCCCACTGTGTATTTGAGTTTGACACCTTTAAATGAAGTGTGACTTACAGCAGAGGGAAATGATGCACATGGCATGGAGTTTGTTCTCTGATCGGATGTAGGAGCGCATGCAGATGACGAAGATATTGCCGAAGCATGTGGTGGCGGAGACGACCCAAACGAAGACCCTCAGCACGATGTTGGCCAGCAGGTCCTCGAAGGACGAGATGCCGTCCGTGTTGGGTTTGCAGCTGCGCACGTGAGGAGCGTAGCCGCAGTACTGGAACTTCTTGAAGTAGCTGTGAAAGCAGATCAAAGAAGATTATCAAGTTACATGAACATCAAGAACACGAGGGAGTCTATTTATTTACAGCTGCAAGGTTTTATTTTTGTTTTGTTTTGTTTTACCACCAAGCGTGCATTCTTACAGCACTCTGGTCTGGAGGTTTTAAATTGCTTTATAAATAAAGCTGTATTGTACAGGGTTATTCTTTTTTCATAAACTGAGACAGTAGGAAAGCAGTCTGATTTTTCTTTTGTATTTGGGATTTGTTTTGATTTAAACCGGGGAGAGCATCTGTTCTTGGGGTTTGAAGGTAGTGAACTTAATAAAAAAAAGCTATTTGGATTAAGATGCTTCTCTTTGATGTGTAGTGTACTGTATTTTGCAATTACTTTGGGACATCTGATGAATACCTTCACCTCCACTGGTACAACAAAGCGGAATACAAAGCCATTTATGGTCAGAAGCTGCATGTTGCTCACAATGGCAATATTGACATGCTAATGCTAAGTAGGAAATGTTAACCACAGTCACCATTTTAGTTTACAGCTTAGCAGGCTGTATTTATTTATTTAATTATGAATTTTGAATGTCCATGTTTGTACTAGTGTTTTGATTCTTAAAATGTTTTTGAAATATTTTGAGATTTGGTTGAGCAGGGTGTACTTTTTACTAGTCCTTTTATTAGAGATGTGTCTGTTGTTTGTGTCAGGATGGAACCCTTGTCTTTTTCTCTGCAAACAAATTCTACCTACGGGTACAAATAAATAACCTGAACTTCATGGACACTCAAACTGTAAAGAAAAAATGCTTTTGGAAAAGATAAATATCCTGCTTTGGGGACAACACATTTACTTCCATTGTATTGGTGAAAGAAGAGAAACACCAGAGAAGAGCTATATCTAAATTAATCGATTAGAGCAAAACTAACTATCCTACTGAAACATGAATGAAACTCTATGGAATAAAGAGCCTGGAGGAGGTTCAATGATTGTTTGCAATGCTGAAAGAGCCTTTATTTGTTCTCCATTGCATCCCTGGCCAGAAGTGCATGTGCATCTTCAGCTGTTATACACACAGAGACCATGGATTACATTAAGCCTGACTTAATCATCTCCCAGTTGGAAGAGAACCCTGACAATCTCGATAAGGCTTGTTTTTGGACTCTCCACAAGGAATATGGTGAGAATCAGCATGCGATGCCAAATGAGGTTTAGCAGCAGAGGTTGCGTTAACCGAATATATTCCGTCTATGACAGCTCATATAGTCTTGATTCTTGTGTTTAAACTTTTCGCTCCATATTTTGATGGTTGGGGTGTTGCAATAATATACGTTGGCCAGGGGGACATTATTTGTTGACGCACAGGTGGCCCGAGGGGACGACATGAGCCGAGGGACCAGCTACCACTAAACGACTCACAGTCTGAAAATTACCATTAAAAAAACCCTGGACGTTTACTTTTCGTTTTAAGGTCTAAACGTTTCATTTAGAAATGCGCGTTCCCGTGACACGGGGTGCATTTCACGGTGGGGGTGCATAATTTGACACAACACCGGCGCTAACAGTTCACAAGCCCCCCGTTGACAGTTCACGAGCGTGCTCTTCCCCCCCCGTCAGTTGTGTACAGACCGACGGGTAATAATGGATTTTGACGGAAACTTTACGATCCTGTCCGTCAAAATTATGGGCAGCGAAAAAGTCTAGCGCAACCTTTGTTTAGCATTACAAAAATGAAAATGGAGTACTTACATATGAGTCAAGTATTTGAGAGGTTCGAACATCCTCCGTTGTATGTTTCCAATTTCGATCCCTTCTATGCTCCTGGAGAGTATACATAGATATATATACAGTCAGGTTCCACAGACACATTTAGCTTTATGGATTTATAACTGATAAAAGAGTTTTCAGAAGCACAAAAGCTGTCCTCAAAAGGTCCCCAGCAAATAGCTTTTCAAGGACTTATGTGAACATTTCACATTGTACAGGTCCATCACTGATGTGTTTCTGTTCTGCTCTTCTGCAACTTTAAGCATGCGAGCTGAATGACTCAACTCCAACTCAAAGGGGCCCTATTATGCTAATGTCCAGGTTTATATTTGTATTTTGTGCCTCTACTTTGCCTACTAATACTACTACTAATGTACTGCTCAAAAAGCTCTTTATTCTTCTCATACTGCCTGTGCTGCAGCACCTCTTTTCACCCTCTGTCTGAAACCAGAGCCCAGTCTGAGCCCTATCACGTACAATGTGTTGGAGCGCTAAGCACGAGTGTTACTAGGTGATGTCACTGTGTTACAGGAAGTAAACAAAGTAGTCCAATAGAGGTTTTTTCAGACAACAGGGAAGTCAAATCCCCAAAAAGCATAAAAGGGCCTCTTTATTTTCTCTTACATTTGCAGGAGAGGTATAGTGTGTACTTACAATGACTTCAGTTTATGCAACTTGTCAAAGTGGTCGACTTGGAGCTCCATGATGGGATTATATGATATATTCCTAAAAGATAAAAGATAAGAAAACATTCAATTAATGTCGAAATCAATTCCATTTTACCTAACAAGTGTCTATGCAACGTTTTCTATGCAAGTGGGTGGTTGCTTTTAACTACCATTATCATAAAGTCTTCTCCCATTACTTCCTTGTATTTAAAGGTCCCCTATTATACTGTTTTTCATCAATATATTATAGGTCTCAGATATATACAAACATGTCTCCAAAGTGTTTGGCCTTTACATAAAGGTATCTTTCTGTTATTCGCTCCTGTCTTCATGTTTGGGTCCACATTTCTCCGCTACATGTGACAGCCACAACTGGTGCATGTTCATGAAGCTGTGTCCTTGCAATATTTATCGTTACCTGACATCTTGTTATACACCCACCGCATTGTTGACATTCATTGCATTAACTGCCTGTCAAGTGTCAATTCTGTAGAATTTCATTGAATAATGCAAATGGTCTATTTTTGTTTTCTCAGAAATAGGCATGTAGAGTATTTTCAAGCTGTTATTATCTCTCTAAAGTATGTTTTAAAATGTAGGGGTGTTAGATTCAGATATAACCTCAGAACGAGGGATTCAGAAGAACAAATTAATGGTAATTTCTTAACAGCATCAAAATATAAACCCTAATAAATATTCATGTTATTGCTAAGGTATACAGAACTGTACATCCTGGTGCATTTGTGTACATATAACTCACAGTTGGAGTAAATCCCCGAGTAAAACAAAGAGATTAGGTGGGATGGCCTCCAGTCTGTTGTTCGATAGATCCCTGCGCCCCGAGACAAATCCACAATGGTTTCCGGAAAGAAAAGCAAGCAATAAATATTTATGAGTGGGTATCCGACAGATCATAACAAAAATAATCCAATCAATGAAACTTTTTACAATGTACAGGGAGAGGATTTCCAAAGATACACAATAAAAACATTCAAACCTCAATAACTTTATAAAGTAATTCAGATTGTTGAGGCACCGACGATTTTCATTAATCACAAAACATGAACTTGCTTTATTCAGTTGTGGGTTATATGTAAATGGAGCCTTTGTCTTTCTTAGTAAAGAAATATAATGAAAATACTAAAACCCACAATATGTAAGTTGATCTCAATATACTTTGCAACTAATTCAGATTAACTGTAGCCCTCACTCCCAACTCATTTATTCCTACTGATGAAACAAATCGTTAAATGTGTCGCATACATAGACAATGTTTTGTGCACATAATTCACCAAGACGTTACTCATTGGTTTTATGGACTATATTTTTGAAACCATACGTTTGGCATTTTGGGTGTCACCATCTTTGCTTTTGGCTATTGCAATGTCGTTTTTTTTTACTTAAAATGACACAAAATAGTGGAACTAAATTAAACGGAAAACTGAACAAGACAATTCATGGATACCAAAATGTTACATATAACTTTCAGGACCTAAAGAAATGTGAAAGGTTTAAAGTTGTAAGGCGTAAACACAACACCCAAACTGGAAAACACTGCGGAGGTCAAACATATGCTTTATTGTCTATTTTACTCTAACTGGGACCATCATTTACAAAATAACCTCATGCTTTATTGACGACGACTTCAAACCAGTAATTAGAACCATCAAAGGATCAGGTAAATGTTGAATGGGGCAACACATCTAGTAAGAGTAGGGTCATTTTCTCATACACCTCTATACAAATTGAGTTCTCTTTGCAACCAATGGATGAGCAGTCGAATAGAAAGAATGCAGGATTTAGGCACTTCTTCATTGGCTTCACAAATTGGTCACAAAAGTATTTGTCTAAAAACAGAAGGGCATTGTAGTTCTAAGATGATGTTACTCATAAATACGAATTGGATTAGAAAAATATTTCCTGTTGCAAATCCTGTGCTCAGAGATGTGTTAATGGCACAGAGGAATGTTTTATTTTCATCAGGCTTTGGCCACAACTGTCTAAAAGGACTTACTGATTGTTGGTTTTGTTCTTCTCATGGGATTTGTTGGCAACAATAAATGTTAATTTTGGTATTTGAGGTTTAGATTATTGTGAATAACTCCTAAAGCGTTGTCCAACACTCATCTGTTACTCTCTAAAAGACAAGCACAGACAGATGCTAATTGTTTATCAGGTACATTTTAACCATTTCTGATCCAAAGTATGTGAGTTTCAAATATATTGACTAGTGTTTTTGGTAGCAGAAGTCCAATTTCATGTGGTTTAATTAACATTAAACATGTTATCTATTAAAAAGACAAGATCAATAAAGATTTAAGAAGAGCTGTTAAGACTCATGAGGCTTTTAATGGCTAAAATAAAACAATTTGAAAGACTAAAGGATTCTGTCAGCCAACAGTAAATCCCATACAATGAAAATAACGGGCACTTTGCAAAGATCACAGAGAGACATATTGCACAATGCCCAAGAGGGTGCAACAACATCAAAGGTAGGAAGTAAAGAGCTGTGACACTTCTAGCACCTTGTGTACCTCTGTGTTCGTGAGAAAGTCAGAAACAAGAACTGAAGAGTGGAATGCAAGTACATAAAAGGAAAACATCAATACAGAATACAAACACATATGTTCAAGGTTATACTACAACTAGACATTCCTTACTAATATGGTGGCAACACTGTATTATGACATAAAGCCAGCCATGTATGTAAAATATAAAAAAAAGGGGAAAAGTATGTTCAAAACGACTTAGATTATGTTCAATTAACTGGGCCAATAATTGTCATTGGCCATCTCGGTCAAAGTCCGCAGTAGTTTTCTTGAAAGTTCCTGGATTTAGTCAATTATAGTCATTTTAAAAGTAACCGCAAATAAACTGCATATAGGTTTACTGTGTAACTGTACCTGTGCAAGTTGAAATACATGTCTTAAACCTTTAAAGGAATCATCTTTTAGTTTCTGAGATATTTTCTACAACAATTTACCATTAACTGATGGAAATAGAGGGAACGCTAATGAGGGCTTACATTGAAAGTGGTTCCTCCTCTGGGAAATATGAATGAATTTCAATATCACTTTATTTTAGCTCTTACCTTTTTGGTTTATATTTGGGATTGTCACAAGTCGAAAAGTGTCAGGTTTGCTAACAAACAGCAAAATTCTACTTCTGGAGACCATAGATAATCATAAAAAATCAAACAAAGACCCAATCCGTAGATTCTGAAAAACTTGTCTTTGAGGAAAAAGTTAGGCAAATGGTTATTTTGAAAACTAACCAAAATACTGTAAACCTTAAGCACCTAGCTCACAAATACGTCTACAATCTGCCAAGTTTAAATGTTGCTGAAACCAAGTTTTGGACAAACCTCCCACACTAACTACAACACAAAACAAAGCAAAGACAGAAATGACCGCCCCCAGGCCTCACAGCTAACAGGGCACAGGAGAACAAATGGTCTTCACTAACAAAACAACATGCGTTTGATCATTCAAGCCTTCATTCTAAATGTGAGCTCGTTAGACTTGTGTTTTTGAATGGTATCAGTTGTTGCTTGCAGCTATTTCGAATTTTTTACTGCTTATAAGAAAGCTCAAACACTTTTTAAAAGCACAGGCTATACATTTTAAAACGGTGCCCTAAAGTAAAAATATTAAGCAGAAATTGAATTATTACAAAACATCCACAAAAATGTCTCTTTACGATGCATTTATTGCTTTTTTCCCGAACTGTTTTTTCATTTCATTATCTTCCGCAGCTCTCTATAGTCACCATGTGTAGCACATCTTAAGAATAAGCAGCACTAAAGTGCATATTGCATTTTGGCTGAATCGTCAAAGTCATGTTATTTGTTTCTTCAAAGTTTGTTTGCTCAATACAAAAAAAGGAGGAACTTACAATTCTCCAAGCCTTGGGAGGACTGAGAAAGCTTGCTCGTGTACGTGGCTGATCCTGTTCTGCTGTAAAACCCTGGAAAAAGACAATACATACAAACAAAGGATCATATGACTACTTTTTAAACTTTTTAATTAGAACTGCCAGCATTGAGTCCATGCATAAGCCTAATAACATGTTGGGAAACGGAGGCTGATTTGAAAGCATCTCATAGGAATTCAGGCAAAAGTGTTTTGATGTCTTTTATACATAAATATGTGTCCCCGGTGTGTCGGGGGAACTCACGCAGCGTCAGAAAATAAAACCCTCTCTCTTTTCCTCCGTACCCAAATCTCTAAAAACGGGGCTACAACGGAGCTGATCCAGATTTGCGTCCGATATGACGTAATATCGGAAATGTAGGCTGGCTTTACACCCACGGCCCTATCAGAAACGTTGCTATCAGAAACAATGCCCGACTGTTTTGGACGTAATATGGTCGGTGTTTACATTAGCATCGCTAACACTCAGAGCTAACCTGTACTGGAGAGCATGTGTGTGAAGAAGCAGGAAATAAAAAGGAACTCACCTTGTGGTATAACCGGCAAGAGAGAAAGCCTTTGAGCTCCATACTGTTTCAGAGATAATCCTTGATAATCCATGATATGGCGTTTCATCACGGCAGTATTTAGTTTAGACAGTAGCTGCCGGGTCCCGCATGAGCTCAGACCCCTCCTTTTTTTTTTAATCAATTTTTCTTTTTTTAAGCTTTATACATAAAATCTGCACTTTTGAAACATCTGAGACCTATGCTATTGCCTAAAAATAGCATGATAGGTGACCTTTAATATTAAAGCTAAATCTTTGCCTGCGTCATGCGTTAAATTATGTAAATATCTACTTACAGAACTGTCAGCATACTGCATGAGGAGAAAGACACATTTCCAATGGTTTCAATGAGATTTCCCTCCAAATCCCTGCAAGACGGGTAATGAAAGGCACACACACACAGGAAATATTAGACACATACCACACACACAAAGACAGGGAAAAAATCATCAAAATACATGCCACATTTTTGACAAGACATCTCATGATTTCTTGACATGTTACTTACAGCCAGTTCAAAATTGGCATTTCCCGACATATGTCATCCAGCTTTGTCAAAGAGTTGTTCAACAAAACCCTGTCGATCAGGGAGACACATTGAAAGAACGTGAGGTACAGGAGGAACACTCATTCAGTTCAACAAAGGCTTTTAAAAGCAGAACATTTGATGGTTTGATGAAGGCCCTGACACACCAGGCCGAAATCGGCTGTTTTCGTTAGTCGGACGACGAAGCGTGCCCTGTCGCCCAAACTCAATTTGGTGTGTCCCGCACCGTCGGCCGTGACACGCCTTATTTGGCCTTTCATGGCCGACGCACGGCCGATTCAACATGTTGAATCGGCCGTGCGTCGGCCACAGGCAGTCGGACAACGAAATCACAAATCTGATTGGCTGTTCAGCTAGCGAATCAGTGCATGAGAAGCGAAACGGTTGCTTGAGAATGTCTTCCACAAGCAACACTCCAATGGCTGATAGCTCCAGTACCGCACGAAACATGTTTTCGATGGACGAGAGTGAAAATGGAACGCACACGCTATTTGTTGTTTGTTTAGATCACGCAGTCTGTTCTTCTTCTCTGTCTTCCGGTTGTTGCCTCTTTTGAATGACGAATACACACTACCGCCGCCTGCTGGTAAGGAGAGTTATTGCCACTCACGCATGCGCAGTTCGTACGTGCTCGGCTGAAGTCTTTGCGGTGTGTTCCAGTGCGACACATGGCCAAGACGCAGGAGAACACGGCGACGCAACAGTCGGCCCATCGGCGTCGGCGAGTTCTCTGGTGACTGCTTGGTGTGTCAGGGACTTAAGAGACCACACAAAGAAAACTCTGAAAAAGTGCAAACTTAGAACTCACAGTAAAACGAGCGAGTTCAGTCCTGAGAAGGTCATGGAGGATATGTGTTGGATATTGTTATTTTCTAAAATCCTGAAACAAGAAAACACAGGATACAGTTTCAGCCTCATTCGCAGAGTATTGATTCGGCTGAAATGGCATTAATAAAGATTTGGGCGAAGTATTACCCAAGTGCAATAAAAATAAAACAATGCAAGGGAAGTAAATACGTTTTATCAGAAGGAGTTATTCATCACAAAACTGGACTTCTCGGCCTATGGCAAAGCATTTACATAAAGTAAAGAATCCGTTAACACTATTGTAGAACTTTCTTTCAGTAGAGAAGAAACATACAACCACTCGAGCTTGTGCAGGTCCTTGAAAACCCCCGGCTTCAGGATAGAGATGCTGTTGTAGCTCAGATACCTGAGAGAGGAGAGATGAGTTTGGAAGATTAGAGGATGCTCGAACGGAAACCATGCTTCCTTCTTTTATTGCTTTGATCAGAGAGGCAGACTGTGTCCATACTTTTAAGAGTGCGCTGAAGAACTTCCTTTTAATAAAGCCTATAGAGCTGGTTTCAGATTATTCCCTATGCTTGTCCTCCTGGGTCCTACCATGATGGCATCTTATTTTATAGTGTTATCGCATTTTTAGTCTTTTTGTTCTCATTTTATTTGTATTTTACACAATCTTGTCTTTTAATTATTTTTCTGTAATTGTATTTATCTTTTAGCATTCATTCATGTTTGGTCATATTTAAAGCATACTGAGACAAATGTGTTTTGTGATATTGGGCTATATAAATAAACTTTGATTTATACTATCAGGTATTGCAATTTAATTTCATATTTCATACTTACACTTTTAATAATATATGTGCATCAAATCAAGTTTTATCTAATAGTTTGTCTTTGTATTAGCTAGAATCATACTTATATTTATTTTTAGTGATATTGATGTGCACTACTATTCTGTTTATATCTTTCTTTCTTACATTTATGCAACAAAAAAGTTATATATAAACTCAAATAAATTTCCCTTTTGCTCTCCAACGCACCCACTCTGTTGAAATGAAGTATTTATTGTAATGGAAATGAAATGTGATGTGTTCACAATTCCAGTGCTACCACCATTTATTTGAGTGTAAACAGAGTAAAATCACAGCAAGTACAGAGCCATATACGGCAATACTATAGGCTAAACTGGCAATAGAAAGAGAGCCACTTACACAAAGCCATACTATTTATATGTTATATTTATTAGTCCCTTAGCATTACATTTTTGTTCCTTAATAACATTTATGCAATACAAACTGAGAAGTTATATATAGTGCAGAGGGAAGATTACTGTCGGCTCACCATGGTCCCATTGTGCCTGATATCTAAAAATGGTTTTACCATTATGGAACCTCCCGTTGATATGACATTTAAGTTGAACTCATCAGCCCTAGCGCTCCCTATGTGGCATCAGATTGTCCTTTCTGCTCTCTGTAATCATTTCAGCCAGAGATGCTTTCACCAAGGAATTGACTATTTATAGTCGGTGGAAAAAAGGAAGTAAGAAAAAAGGCTCTGCTCTCCGAAGAAGCTCTCAGAAAATCAGAGCAGCAATGAGGATTGTACTTGAAGTACTAACTCATTTGCCCTTAATAAACACATTGTACATTGTATACGTCAAGGGTAATATGCTAAATAAGGAGGAGGTCGGTGTCATGATGCAACAGCATACTCATTTGCTGTTACATTTGATTTACACAGCCCTCAAATTATACTTTTGTCTCAGGGGGCTTTAGAGTGTCTACAGCGTATGAAACCCTCAGACCGTCGCAGCGAACAAGAAAAACTCTCAAGAAAAACTCTCAAGAAACCAGACAATTCATTGGGAAAAAATGGAAGAAACCTTGGACGGAAGAAAAAGATTATGTGAACATAATGTATATAAAAAAACATGGATCGAAGAGGATGTCAATAAGTCTATACTTCCCTACTTTCAGTGGTGAGGTTGTACCTGTACACACATAGAATAATGTAGTGTAGTGGTATTAATGTAGCCCTAACCAAGTTAAAAGGAAAGCAAGCCAATGTATTTCTTGTGATTGTAGTAATGTGTTTTTATTACATGTACAGCACTTTGGCTCGACCAAAAATCGCTTTTAAATGTGCGTTATAAATAAAACTTGATTTGATTTGATTTCTTAGAAAAACATTTAAAAAGCCAAAGTAGTGCGCAGTTTACAAAGGTATTATAATTGAATATAATACAAATGTACAAACTTACAGTCTTGTCAGATTATGCAGCCCTCTGAAAGCGTCAGGACTCACATCTTGAATTCTGTTGTATTGAAGATATCTATACACAACACAAAGAAAGCACATATCAGGTTAAGAATCGACAAAAACAACCTTTTGAGTCTGTTGGTTTTATACAAAAAAAGACAGATACATTTGGTTGTTTGAGTGAGGGATAAAACCAAGAAAAGAGAAATATCTTCTATCAGAACATCCTGGTTTGTTTAATACCAATCTTCTTTTATTGCACATACTGAGAGCTCAACAAACTTCCACTGACAGCTGTGTTTTGTCTCTTTGTGTATTTTTCACACCTGGCGATTCATTCTGATGTTTATTTATGCATATTTTCAGGGACTTTTTCAATCACGTTAAACGAATGACAGCCTGGCACCGCCAAATGGTTCCTGGCGAGGGATCAGACCTATTCTCCTGCCACCTCAGTGTGCGAGGTTGATAAACAACTGAAGTCGGCAATGAATAAATGCAAGCAGAGGAGGAAAATGGTTCCTTTAAGTATTCCCAGCAGTCCCTGTAGCTTTTATTGGGCATATCAGCTTTGTAGTTGTGAAACTCGTCTGTTGTATCGTCACTCAAAGGTTATTTTCTCCGCTCTTTGGTGTCACGTGAAGGCATTAAGGCAAGGCAAGGCAAGTTTATTTATATAGCACTTTTCTGTACGCGACAATTCAAAGTGCTTTACAAAACAAATTAAAGACTTTTTATGAATAAATACAGTAAAAACACATTATATAATGGCATTTTACAACAGGCATTACAAAGCAAAGATAATACAAATAAACACCACAGGTATACAATACATTAGGGCTGTGCGATTATGGCAAAAATCATAATCACGATTATTTTGGTCAATAATTGATATCACGATTATTAAATACGATTATTCATTGACTTTGAAAACATCAATTTATTGAACTTTAAAACAAATACAAATAATAATTTGAACAGTGTCTTTTTAACTGTTGATTACCCTGAACGTATAATTCAACTGAAAAACTTTAAATAAATGATATCAAAATAATAAATACCAATAACCAAGATCAACAAATATTTTGGAGCGCACTTCAACAAGCTACTAAACATATATAAATATGATAAATAAAAATAAATGAGACTAAAATAAATTAGATCAAATATGTCACAACCTAGCAAAGCAAAATAATCGTTTTTTTCGATTATGTTGTTTTCGTAATTGTGGCAGGCCAAAATCGTAATTGCGATTAAAATACGATTAATTGCACAGCCCTACAATACATGTTTAAAAGGCATACTGTAGTTCGAATATGAGCAGCTCAATTAAAAGCAGCGGCAAAGAGATATGTTTTTAGTCTCGATTTAAAAATGGTAAGCGTTTCTGCGGACGTGCATGATTTGGGTAGTTTGTTCCAGAGTGTCGGGGCATAATAGCTAAATGCTGCCTCTCCATGTTTTGTTGTTACTCTCGGAGCCGATAGCAGACCCGTCCCAGAAGACCTAAGGCACCTTGATGGCTCGTAATTGTGTAGGAGTTCAACAACCAAAACCATGTAATGATTTAAAAACTAGCAATAGTACTTTAAAATCAATTATTTGGCCGACTGGAAGCCAATGTAAAGATTTCAGAACCGGACTGATGTGATCCACTCTTTTAGTGTTAGTGAGGACACGAGCAGCAGCGTTCTGAATCAGCTGCAGCTTTCTGATGGATTTTTTTGTCAGCCCTTTAGGCTTTACTGAATGAAATGTGTAGGCTCACATGCAAGCTGAAAAGGTCCTTTTATTGGACAATAAAGAAGACTGAATAAAGGGAATTAAATAAACAAAAGAAAATGGAAAATTGGCAAAATTAATTTGAATGAAGCAATATATTGTTATTCAATCCATAATTCATGTTATACTCACAGTTTCTGTAGGCTTTTGTACTTAAAGAATGTGTTTGCCTGAAGCTTCAGGAGCTGATTCTTTTGAAGGGACCTAAAGGAAAGAAAGGCTCACATCAGAATTTGAGCCGCCCAGCTCATCCCTCAGATAGTCATGCTATTATTTAACATGTCGGTTTAAATTATGCTATAACGTTTTTCATTAATGGGGCTTTCAAGACTTTCAAGGATCAATTGTCCTATTCAACACTAAAATAATACTCTCAACTTTCATTATGTAAAAATGACACCAATTTGCTGTACCAATTTGCCCCCTCTCTCAGTGGTGAGTATTATCCTCATTTTAAACTATACTGTATATGTCAGTACCCTTAGTATTAAACACAACTAAACTGACAATCAGTTGAATTCCTACATCTCAATATCAAATCACGTTATATTTGTCGCTTGAGTTTTCATGTATTATTGTTAGATAGTCTATACTTTTCCCCTTGTTATTCCATTTTCATACACCTACTCGCAAAGACAAGCCATTATAAATTCACAACTTTGAATAGATTATCACATCCTAACAAAGCTTACACATTGAAATACCAACAAAAACAATCACAGTCAGTCAATAACATGACACACAATGGCCTCCTGGTCTTTTTAATTCCATGTTATCATCTCAAAGAGACCCAGAGTAACCATTTGATTCAGCTGTCGATTCCAAAGCTTTTAACAGATTAAAGGCTAATCCGTAAAGGGTTATGTGTTGGGACTGCGTATATTTTCTTTCTGTTAACTCTGTCTCCGAGGGCTCGCAGTTCTTTAACTCTGTATTTGTTTGCTGATTGATAAACGACTCCATTCGGTCCACTTCTGTCGCAACACTTAATGTACTCGGAGAAGTTTTTGTAAACAAACATGTTTTCTCCACAAAGCACATTGGGCCTCGAGTAGGAACATTAAGGCTGTAAATTGGCAATAATCCGACACAATGAAACGTATTAAGATACAGGGGGCTACACATTCAATATATTGTGATGCATTGCAATACTGTAAGGATTATCATTTTTGAAAGTAAAATATTCATAGTATAAAGACCACATAAATTATAATAATGAATTATATTTGAAACATTTTGGCCAGCTAGCCAATCAGAGCAGACTGGGCTTCAGACAGAGGGTGAAAAGAGAAGCTGCAGCATTTGAACATGTAAGCATGTCACAGTATAAGCACAAAATACAAATAAGAACTTAGATATGTGTACAATATGTCCTCTTTAAACCTGCATCACATTCACATCTTCATCCCTTCTTTTATTGCATTGCTGCATTATAAGGTGCATTAGTGGCGGCGCCAGGGTATGGCTGTAACCATACCAAGATATGGCTTAGCCCCACCTTAGCCCCACCATGAAAAATTATGTTAAAGTAAGCATGTTGAGAACACGGATTGCGAAAATATACTGGACACGACCCGTATATTTCTGTCCACAACACACAAACTGATCCTGCTGTAACAACAAAGTGCACGTTACTGATGCAATATGGTTGAGACCATTCGGGCTAGAAGAGGGGTGCAAGGAATAGTCTAAGTAGTGGGTAGTAGTATTTTTATACACAAAAGGTGTGGAAATTCTCTCGCGTTATAATATCAGCGCGGCCGCGGTCAGATCGAAATGCCTCCGAATGCAATTTGAATAGACCTACAGCCAATCAGAGCAACGAAACGTTGGGTCTGCGCAATGCCCTTTATATATACAGTCTATGGTCATGCCTTACTGATTGAGATCAATCGGAACCGCAATTCAGTATCCCCATTGGATCTTCAACGTGTACTATCATACGTCTGTACCATAGATTACCCAACAAAAATACTCTGGCGCCGCCACTGAGGTGCATTAACACACTGATCTTCAGCATTAACCTAGGGGACTTCATACAGCTGTTGCTCTTTTAATTTATGGACATGGTTGGTCCCAAACAACCTCAAACTGCACTTTTAATTTCCAACACGTCAGGCAATTTGACTCTAGCAGCCCTGAAGACAGTAAATCATTAACCAGCAACATTAAGGCGAGAGAAATCCATAGTACAGCACTCTAAAATAACAGACTCATTGTGCATCCTTGAAGCCAACCCCTCTACAGTCAATCAGGACATTGTCTATTGTGACCAGCTAAGAAAAGATATGAGCCCCTCCCTTACTCTTCCTACATTATTTCCAGACATAAGCACTCTCATTTTTTGGGACAATTCAGTGAAGATATTTTCTAGCAAATCAGTTCCTTTCACGTTAGACTGAATGCAGACACAATTTAGCTCGAAGGTCACACAGATAAGCTATAATGTAACTACAGACTGTGGGTGTGACAACAGGGAAATTGTTTTATTTAAAATAATCCTGTCTTGTTGGCAAATAACAAAAAAATAAAGTCCTTTAGACAGACTGGACCTGCGGGGTAATGTTTTGTATAACCATCCAGAGGGCTTTGTGAAGCAGATTTACAGCTGTCTGAGACTTGACTGTCATACCTAAAGTAAATGTTTATAATTCCTTTATTTATATTTTCATTGTTTTAACTCATAAAGCACCTTACTCATACATTTCACTTTGACTCTTTCTGGCACTCACTCTTTGAAATGAACAAATCCCCTGAGTCAAAAGACCGCAGTCACGGCGCCATGAATGGGAATATCTAGCTAAAGCTGAAAAAAAGTGATCCACTTGCAAATGAGTCACATTTCACTCAATAGGATCAAAGGAAATATGAGTCACTTTATGGTATTTCATTACTTCTGTTAATTACTCAAAGAAAACACTTTAATAAACAGGCGTTATGTGAATCACTTTCTATACACTGAAGTCTTGACAGCAAAAAAGAATGAGATTGTTTTTATTGAAACATGAGTTTCTTCCGTTTCCATTTATTTAAATGTTTCCAGATCTGATAATAAGTAATGCAATATTTCATCCTTAAGTAATTTCGCTATTTCAAATAATGCCATCCTAAACCTACATGTAAATATAATACAATTTGGCGTAGGCATTCATCTTTCCAAAAGGCAGAAAACTGTTTGATAATGGCGACTGTGATCTTTCTCATTTCATCTGGCCAATAACTCACACTGACAGTACATTCACTTCTTAAAGGGATTACTGATTCTTAACCACCAATCCCACCAGACCACCACCAGGACACACTTAGGCAATTTATCCAGCTGTTTTGTTATCTACCCCGAACTATGTTGCCTGTATAAGTAACAACAACTCCAACTGTGTATATTGTCCTCGGTGGAAGTGTCCTAAAAGCAATTTTTTTCTAAATCAAAATAAGGATGGATAACAAAAGTATTCTTGGTCAGCGGCATTCACAAAGATTGACAGCAACTTTGAACATTTCAAGGCAGTGAAGTTTAAAGGGGAGAAAAAAGTGAGCTGACTACAAAGTATTACACAACTCCTAAAGGACATAAAATAAATGATGCAGTGCCAACGACAGAGCAGACACTTTGTAAGAGATAATGAGGACAGGCCAACCTGCGATGTAATGGCTTTAATATTTCAGGACACATAAAATGACTCATAACGACTGAAAACTGTAATGTTCTTTCATGAAACATTGACAAACTTTGTAATAGCTTTAGGATTAAATGTCCTTGTCTGATACATGTAGGAAAGTATGTTGGAAAATCATTTGAAAATAATTAAATCCCCAGAGAAAATGGCGCCACAGATGTACTGTAGGTATGTGCGTAAATGCTTGTTCCTACAACACTTTCAAGGACATAAGTGAGTTGTTAAGTGAGTGTCAGGGGATTGCTGTAGTTCCTGAGACTAATCTGTAATTCTGGCTTCAAGTGAGTCCAGCTTTTGGCTTGCTGTTGTGGGAGACACAAGCCAGGGATGGAGGCTTCCTTTGGATTGATTGAGCTTCAAGATAATGAAAAAAGAAGTGGGTTATTTTCTACTCACATCATGGTGACATTAACCGCCACCGCTGGGATGTCTCGAAGCTGCGCGCCGTCACAGTCCAGCTCCAGGTCTCGGCACTTGCAGAGCTCAGGAAAGACTCCCAGCACTGGAGAGAGAAAGGGGAAACATTAGAGGAGATGTCAATCATCCACTGCCAAACTGTCAAGAAAGATGGAGTACTGCCCATATATCCTGCTGGAAGGGAACGTATGTCCTGAGATTTTAAAATAATGAAAGCAGAATGTATTAAGAGTGACTTTGAGGATGAACACAGGTTGGTGAATAACAAGGTGTCTCAATATTGCTCATTAAATATTCCTGGGTTAAGCCAGCTTTAATTATACTTCATTAAATGCCAGTTGTAGGTGTGATGAAATGGAGCAGATTGTTTAGGCATCCTGGCTTCAATGAAAGCAAATTAGGTTTTTAATGAAAGACGACACTTTGAAAGGAAAACTTATAGTTTATCAAGAAAACTACAAGTGATATTTAATTTCTCCCCCAGGTAAGATTGAGAAATGAAATAATAAAACAATCCGATTAGTTCAAATCCCTTGAGCCCCAGAGTCCCAAGAGGAAAGAAGGATCATGTGTTGTCTGATTGTCAAGTAGTTGCAAAAAAAGCACAATTCCCTACACAGTATTTGCTCCAGATATATATTGAAGTAGTGCTCTGGTACACTACATATTCAAGTGTGTGAAGATAAAATATGGGCAAACCCAGGGGACAGTTCCTAACTTAGGCATTTTTATTGTAATGCAGGACAATGAAAATGCTCAGAATAAGAATTGAATACAATGCCATGAGAGTTCGTGGAAGCAACCATAACAAGGTGGATGTCCTTGCAAGAATCAAATATGTTTGACATTTTTGCAATGCTGCATACAAATATCATAGGCTTGTGAAGCCCTGTGCTAATGTATTGCAACATATTGCAGTTTTCTGCAACATATTGCAGTTTCTGCCATGAACATACACCAACTGCTGTACGATGAGTACGCTTTAGAGGCTGCGAACAGCCGAAGAAAAGAAACCTAAGTGGTATAGTGAGAGAGTTTCTCCTAAAAGCATAAGTTCACAGCTTGTATTCACACATTGACAAGCTGAGTAATCAGCATGCATGGAGTGGTCTTGTTATGTGATGGACTCAATGGTGATCACTGTGAATGTGCTGTGGATAAATAACGGTTTTTTCCCATCAAGCGACAAACTGAGCCTTGCTTTGATTTAAAAAGAACAAAACACTGGCTGTCCTGAGGGAAATATTTGTGCTCAATAAAAGCTGCTATCACACCGACAGTGTGACATTAGTCGCCACCACTGGGATGTCTGGAAGATGTGCTCCGTCACAGTCTAACTCCGGGTCTCAGCACTGGAGAGATGGAGGTGTGAGGGATGGGACACCATAAGGAGACGTCAATCAAACAAAGTTTCAAGACAGGAGCTTTTTTGAAACAATCACAACATAGTCCTGCTGGAAGAGAGTGTAACTCCTGAGATTAAAGGAGGAGAAGAAATGATTTAGACAGAAATAAAAGAGGGATAAACAAAGGTTGGCAATACTTAATAGAAGAACAAAGTCTCTCAAGACTGCTTATGTTAGTACCTGGGTTAAGATAGCTTTGATTTTGTTTAATCAAATCGTAGTTTGGAGACGAAAGATGTGATGAAACGGAGCCGACAAGATCGTTTAACCAGGCATCTTGGCAAAGCAAATTACATTTAGGGACAAAGTAAGCCACAAAAAGCGAGTTAAGACTCCCCTCTGATGGGAAAACCTGTGAAAGGGGATGTTTTTAAAGTCACTAATGCTTTAGATGAAAGGATTTGAGCCGGTCCAACGACAGTAAAAGTCCAGGTATTGTCTGATTTATGGATATTGGCTAAAGCAAAGTTCACTGTGTAACAGGACAGGGCAGATAAAGAGAAAAGTGGTAGTGCAGCAATCACGACAGAGGCAGTGTTCAAATCCAAAAAGAGGCTTTATTGCTAACAAACTCAAAAATACCTTTAACTAAACAAAGGCTAACGTAGCCGGGCCGCTAACCGACTTACCAGCTTACAAAAATGTTTCCTCACGCTGGGAGCCTCCTGCTCCCTCCATGTGCCACACACAACTGAGCAACTCTGTCTGCTTTGTCTCCCTTGAGGGAGTGATTAGCACCAGGTGTGAGGTCTCCACACCTGGTCCCAATACTGCTAATTGGCAGCGGGTGGAGCCACCTATTGGGAATGTAGGTGCCTCCCACTACTCTGCCTCTCAGTCCCTTACACACCCCCCCCTTCAGTTCTGGCCTAGGAGAGGTGACCATGGTCCACAGGGCATCTCTACGGGACAGGGCATCTGCATTCCCATGCTTGGCTCCGGCTCTGTGGATGATAGAGAAGTTAAACTCCTGTAGTGAGACAAACCACCTTCCTACTTTAGCATTTGTGTCTTTTTTATTTGCCATCCAGATCAGTGGGGCATGATCAGTTACCAGAGTGAAGTGACGTCCCAAGAGGTAATACCGGAGGCGCTCAAGCGCCCATTTTATTGCTAGGCCTTCTTTCTCCACAGTAGCATACACTTGTTCCCTTGTGTTCAGCTTCCGGCTGATGTACATGACGGGGTGTTCCTCACCGTGAACCTCCTGGGATAGTACTGCTCCTATGCCCACCTCTGACTCATCCGTCTGCACAATCATCCCCCGGCTGAAGTCTGGGGTCACCAACACCGGCCGTGCGCAGAGAGCCCTCTTAAGTTCCTCAAAGGCGTGTTCAGCCTCTCCTGTCCACTTGACCATTAGCGGCTGTGAGTCTCTGGTCAGGTCTGTAAGGGGAGAGGCTACTGTGGAGAAGTTTGGGATGAAACGGCAATAATAGGACGTCAGACCCAAGAATGTTTTCACCTGTTTCTTTGTTGACGGCCGTGGCCAGTCCTGGATCGCCTGAACCTTCCTTTCTTGTGGTCTAACGTTGCCCCGCCCAATGGTGAAGCCCAGGTATTCGGCTTCCTCTAGTCCAAGCTTGCATTTTCTTGGATTAGCTGTCAAGCCCGCCCTACGGAGAGATTCCAGCACTGCTGCAAGCCTTATGAGATGGCTATCCCATGAGTCACTGTGGATAACAACGTCATCCAAATAGGCAGCTGCATACTCACGATGTGGCCTCAGAACCTTGTCCATCAGTCTCTGGAACGTGGCTGGTGCTCCATGAAGCCCGAAGGGAAGCACAGTGTACTGGTACAGCCCTGTGGGGGTGGCGAAGGCAGTCTTCTCTCTTGAGGCAGCTTCAAGTGGGACCTGCCAATACCCTTTCGTCAAGTCCAGAGTGCTGATATACCTGGCTTCCCCAAGCCGATCAATTAGCTCATCTATCCTGGGCATAGGATACGCATCAAACTTGGAGATTTCATTCAATTTTCTGAAATCATTACAAAACCTGTTGGTTTTGTCTGGCTTAGGAACCAGAACGACAGGGCTGGTCCACTCACTGTGAGATTCTTCAATCACCCCCATAGCCAGCATTTTCTGCACTTCTTGCTCAATGGCCGCCCGTCTTGCCTCCGGCACCCGGTAGGGTCGCATCTTTACCTTTTGGCCAGGCTCTGTGTGGATTTGATGTTCCACCATCGTTGTGCGTCCAGGTCGTAGTGAGAACACATCCAAACTCTGCTGAACCAGTTCCTTGGTTTGCTGTAACTGAGCTTTGGATAGCCCTGGACCGTATTCAACTTCGGCCACCTCATGGTCTGGAGAAGGGGATACAAACAGGGAACAAGAACACAGCAGTGCCTCTCGGGCATACCATTTCTTTAACAGGTTAACATGGTATATTTGGGATGGTTTGCGACGGCCAGGTTGGCGTACCTTGTAGTTGACTGGTCCCACCTTCTCTGTCACTTCATAGGGACCTTGCCACGATGCCAGGAATCTGTGTTCTGTGGTGGGGACCAGGAGAAGCACTTTATCCCCGGGCAGGAACTCACGTGGTTGGGCACCTCTGTTATACACTTTCCTCTGGGCTTCTTGGGCTTGAGCCATGTGCTCTCTGACCATGGGCCAAACATCTTTCATATGCGTCTGCATCGTCTCTACATGCTCAATCAGGCTCCGATGGGGGCTTGGTTGCTCCTCCCAGGCTTCCTTCGCGATGTCGAGAAGTCCTCTGGGCTGTCGGCCATACAGCAGCTCGAAGGGGGAGAAACCGGTTGAAGCCTGTGGAACTTCCCTGATTGAAAACAGGACATAGGGCAGAAGCTGGTCCCAGTTACGACCATCCTTGTCAACAACCTTCTTTAACATGGATTTCAACGTCTTGTTAAAGCGTTCTACCAATCCGTCTGTCTGCGGATGGTAGACAGATGTACGAAGCTGCTTTACCTTGAAGAGCCTGCAGAGATCCTTCATTATCTTGGACATGAAGGGAGTGCCTTGGTCTGTTAGCATCTCTTTAGGAATCCCAACTCGACTGAACAGGTGAAGCAGCTCCCGTGCAATCACTCTCGTTGTCATGTTCCTCAAGGGAATGGCCTCCGGGTACCTGGTTGCATAGTCAAGGATCACAAGAATATACTGATGTCCCCTGGCAGACTTCACCAGCGGCCCCACTAAGTCCATGGCAATGCGAGAAAACGGTACATCGATTATCGGTAGAGGTATTAGGGGACTTTTAAAGTGTGGCTTGGGACTCATCTTTTGACATTCAACACAGGTGCGACAATAATCCTCTATAGCCCTTACCACCCCTGGCCAGTGGAACCGGCTCCCAATCCGCTGCCTTGTCTTCTCAACCCCTAGGTGGGCCCCTAGGACATGGCTGTGAGCCAGATGCAACACTGTGGACACATATTGTTTTGGGACAACCAACAAGTCTCTTCGCTGACCTTCAACCTCTTTGGCATAGTATAACAGATTATTTTTTATTAGGAAATGAGGACATGTAAGCTCACCCACTCCTGGAACTGGTTTCCCCTCTATTTCCGTAACATTGCTGCGTGCATGCAACAGATTGGGGTCTTCCATCTGGGCGGTCCCGAACTGGCCCTTCAAACTTGGAAGCAATGAGACTTCCCCCTCCTCATGACCTGTGCTTAGGTCTCCAGGGAAAGCAACAAAAGGGTTATCATTTGCCTCGTCTGCACTGGAAGATTGGTTGCCTCTCTGCTCCTCCGGCACAGCACACACAACGTTGGGGAACTGCTGAGGAGAAGTACCCTGGGTGGCAGTTTGTCCTCTCTCTCGTTTTCCTTTGGCACACTTGTGCTTTTTGGGACTCACCTCCTTCTGGTGCCGCAGGCGCTTGTATAGTGGGCAGTCTCGCCCCACCAAGACTGGGACTGGTAGGGAAGGAACCACCCCCACTTTCATCTCACAGCTGCCTTTAACTGTGGTAAGGTGGATGAGGCAAGTGGGGTATAATTTAGTGTCCCCATGGACACAGGAGACGGGCACAGTCTCTTCAGATGGCAAATGGTCGAGGAGGTGGGGTTGAATGAGGGTTACCACACTTCCTGAGTCCACTAGCGCCTCTGCATCTTTTCCATTTACTTTGACTGGTATCATTTGAGCCAGGGAGCTTTCCTGTACCCAGCAAGAGTCAAGAAGGTGGCAGGGCCTTGCACCAGATGAGTTGGCGGTCGGCATTAGCTCATCCTTCCCTGGGCAGTCCCGGGCAATATGGCCTGTCTCCCCACACTGGTAGCAACGCGGTTGGCCCTCTGGCAGGTAGGACTGTCGTCGCCTTACCTCTTCTGTTTCCCATCGCGGTTCTCGTGCCCGTCTAGTCCGTGATGCTTCCCCACTGACTTTCCGGCCCCACTCGGTGTCTGGTCGTGTGGACTTAAGCAGGTCCGCTGTGACCACGTGGCTCTCCACTACGTTAACCAACTCATCCAGACCGGCTGGATTCTGCTGGCTTGTCATTTTCTTGATCTCATAGGGCAGAGACCGAATATATTTGTCCATCATTATCCTCTCTAAAACACTTAACTTTTCGGGGTTGCATGTCAGCCAGGCTCTGGTTACCCGGCCTAGGTCATACATCTGGGCCCTGGCTGACAACTCTGGCTTGTATTTCCATTCATGGAACCGCTGGGCTCTTGCTGCTAAGCTGTAGCCATACCTCGCCAGGATTTCCTTCTTCAAGACGACGTAATCCTTTGCTTGGTCCGGAGGGAGGTCGAAGTAAGCTTGCTGTGCCGGGCCCAGGAGGAACGGTCCAACCAGATCAGCCCAGGAGTCCCTTGGCCAGCCCTCTCTTTCAGCTGTGCGCTCAAAGGCCGTTAAGTAGGCCTCTATCTCATCACTCTCTGTCATTTTGGGGATGAATCGACCTGGGTTAGGCTGCATGGTTGCTTCCCTCTGGACAGGAGAGGCTGCTGTAAGGCATTTTTGGACCTCCATGTGGAGAAGTGCATTCTGTTTCTGCTGCTCCTGTATCATCTGCCGTTGCAGAGTCTGCTGCTCAGTAGAAATACGCACCAACTCCTTTAGTACATCCTCCATCTTGAAAACGTAAAAAAAAAAATTGTTCTGACTGCAACACCACCAATAGAGTCTTTATGCCCGCATTCTCCACCAGTGTAACAGGACAGGGCAGATAAAGAGAAAAGTGGTAGTGCAGCAATCACGACAGAGGCAGTGTTCAAATCCAAAAAGAGGCTTTATTGCTAACAAACTCAAAAATACCTTTAACTAAACAAAGGCTAACGTAGCCGGGCCGCTAACCGACTTACCAGCTTACAAAAATGTTTCCTCACGCTGGGAGCCTCCTGCTCCCTCCATGTGCCACACACAACTGAGCAACTCTGTCTGCTTTGTCTCCCTTGAGGGAGTGATTAGCACCAGGTGTGAGGTCTCCACACCTGGTCCCAATACTGCTAATTGGCAGCGGGTGGAGCCACCTATTGGGAATGTAGGTGCCTCCCACTACTCTGCCTCTCAGTCCCTTACAACTATGAACCGTTTTCTCAAGGTATGAATACTGATTATTGCACCCAATTTGCACTTTATTAAAAAACAGGGGCAGTCTCCTGACATGAATGTGCATCAACAATGCAGAGCACACAAAGGTAAATAATAAAAACTGTTTATATAGCACCTATCAGAACAGAGTTTACTACTTGCCTTAAAGGACAAAGTAATTTAAAAGCAGGATACAAGGCAATATAACAGGAAGAGAGGCCAAACAAAAGTGGGAAAAAATGAAGGATAAATCAACACATGATGATGCAAAGACATAGCGGAGATAAGACAATAAAGAAATGTACAATTTTACGAAAACATTTCAATAAAAGGATCAAAACAATCAAAAGAAAACATCACACGTCTGTGAAAGAGGGCTTTAAGAAGTGGTTCAAAAGAGGTTACTATTTCTGCCGCCCTTAAGTCCTCAGGCAGGTCGTTCCAACGCATAGGAGACCAGATGGCTGTAGTTCAACTTTTTATTGAAACCTCCACTTCAAAACAGCCAGAAGGACACTAACTGAGGATCTAATGCTGGGAAGTGGCCCATAGTGCTCAATAAATCCTGCTATGGCTTGGATTCAGACTGATCCATGCGTTCAAGGTGGTCTAAATCAATCCTAAAGCGAACATTATCCAACAGTTTCAGACAGCCAATATTGTGCTTTTTCGTTTACTTTGCAGTAGGGATGCCAGAAACTGACCATGACCAAAATCGAAGATCGGACAGCCCTGGCGAATATTAATCGATTAATCGCCCCCCCCCCCCCCCGGGGAGGAGGAAAAAAAAAACACTGACAAATGGTATTCCGTTGTTTTCTTTTACTGGAACGTGTACATGGTACAAAAGGGCTCTTCAGTATTAATAATAGCATCATTGAAATAAATTAAATAAATAGCCTACTTTATGTGTGTATGTATGGGTGTAGGCGAGAGCGCAGCCGGTTAAGGATTAGTCCTGCCGCCGAAAAAACCCTTTCCGAGGGCACAGAGCACTGCGGAGCCTCTCAGCTAAATTAACCGCACTCTTCATCTCCCATTCACTATCGATATAATGTCAGGTTATGGTAACATAGGATTCAGTTGTGAGTGCCGTCCACCCGTCGGTGGTTATCGACACCTTTGAGACAGTTGATAAGAGTACGGCCCGGGACCCTGTAATCTGGTTCCACGTTTGCCATAAACTCAAGGAAACCGCCTCCTTCCACGACGGAGAGGGGAGGGGCGGGGTCGGTGTGTAGCAGGCTGCAGCACTCTGCGCTGCTGGCTTCCTCCAAGTTTACAGTAAAACAAACTGGTGGTGTGATCAATGGTCATTTACAATTATTAATACTATTACTATTATTAGCATTAGTCTATATTTTGGTTGAAACCAAACCAGGAAAAAAAAGAAAAACATAAATATTAATAAAAAAATATATTAATAAAATCGATTTTTAAAAATAATATTCGATTATGGAGACTGTAACGAATAATCGAATAATCGAATAATCGCTGGCATCCCTACTTTGCAGGTGCATCACACACATTCTCATTCATTGAAAGAACACAATATCCTTTTTGACAGAAAGGTCATTTACGTTTTAAGGGTAGAGATCACTGAGAACAAGACAAAAACAAATCAACCTACATTAGAGTCTCTTGAGTTCTGCAGCAACCCCAGCAGACATTAATGCTTCACCCTGGCTTTTTTATTCTGGTGTGCAGAACCTTGCACATGCTCAAACATCGGCAGACATTATAATAATATTGTGTTTTCATGGAAATAAGAATGAAACGAGTGGAGGTCCTTGTTGTATGAATCATGCTTCCATATTTGTGTACATCTTCTTTAGCTCTGCACAAAATAACACTATTTTCCCGAGACCTTTCCGAAGGTTCAAGCTTGATTCTGAGAAACTGAGTAAAAGGAATACAGACAAAAACGACTTTAGTTATTATAGTCCATATTAAAACCATTCACATCACAGTTATATTAACCTGTAAACTAAGTAAGTGGGTCATTACATACAGTAGATTAACATTAATCTCACATTCATTGTAGCAAATGAAGCCCCTATTTGATTTGTATCTGTAGCCCTGGGCTGGTCACAATATATACATATAAACACATTTTAATCATAACAAGAAACACTATGAAATATGTCTGAAACATAATTTACATTTAGCCCTGTGAATCCAGCACAACCTGTACAAGCAGTTATTTCTTTATTTGATGCAAAATGTGATTGATGACTCCTGATTTAGGGTGATGCTTCAATTATTTCAATTGTAAGGGGTGGCTGAACTTTTAAGAGAAGGAAATTGGTTGGCTGCTTCTTTGTTTTATTTGTCAAAGGTTAAATCTAACGCCCCCATACATAGCCAGTCTTCACAACCAACCACTCAGGGTCACCAGGGCATGACCCCTCACCTGCTTCCCACCCACAACTGTAGGCTACGTGATAATCAGAGATGGGGTCGTTACCAGTCTATGGTCGTTACTCAAAAAAAGTAATATATTACATATTACTTTAAAAAAAAAAAGTAATATATTGCTTTACTTCGTTACTCTCTACATAAAGTAACTCGTTACTTTACATTACTTTTGCGTTACTCAGCAACAGCCTATAACCAAAACTTAAAACTTAGGCCTCCATTTGCACACATATAACAATGACTATTGCAATAAGGAAGACATAACACAAGTCTTTCTTTTTATGCTCTTTAATAAAATAGGCTACCACAAGCTAACAGTCGGTGAAAACCTAAAGAGCATTTCAAGATTTCACCATTGTGCAAATTGCAACATTTCCTCTACTATAAAGGATGCTACAAGCCTGTCCATCTCTGCTTTGGTTACCGGTCCTCCAAATTCTAGTTTTTGCTGCTTCGGAGTCAGCACTCGGCACACACTCAACATCCTCACTCTGGGTTTGGGGGTACTTAGCTATTAGCTTCACGTTAGCATGTTGTCTTTGCAGGTGCTTGTGAAGGTTTGACATTGTGTTTGCAGCAGTGGATAAAAGCTTCTAGCCTGGACACAGTTTGCACCTCACCGTCACATTCCTGTCCTTTCTTCAGACAAACTCAAAATAATGGGCATACCTCCACCCAGGGGCGGACTGGCCATTGGGAATACCAGGAGTTTTCCCGGTGGGCCGGTGTTGTGTAAAATGATGCACCCCCATCATGAAATGCCCCCCTTGTCACGGAAACGCGCATTTCTAAATGACACGTTTACACCTTAAAACGATGTTTAAAACGAAAAGTAAACGTTCAGGGTTTTTATTAATGGTAATTTTCAGACTGTGAGTTGTTTAGTGGTAGCTCATATAGTCTTGATTCTTGTGGTTAAACTTTTCGCTCCGTATTTGATGGTAGTGGTGTCGAAATTCATTCGTCACTTCCTTTTCAGTTTTTTTTTTTGTAATCTTTTTATTTTTTATTATTGTTACGTCCTGTCTGTATACACGTGCTTTAAAATGTATTGTTTAATTTTTACATATTTGTCATATAATAATCAAAATATATGTTTACAAATGTTACATAGTCTTTGTCAGCATATTTTTGCCACGTTATGCACCCCTTGCTATCTTACATAATAAAAGTGTCACATTCATGTCACAACAACACCGGTACCGAAGTGGGCCGGTCGGACGCACCCCCCCCCCCCGTTGACAATTGACTAGCGGTACCGAGTTGGGCCGGTCGGCCGGTCGAGTTTCCCGGCCTGATTTTTAGTCCCAGTCCGCCCCTGGGCTCCACCCCTCGAAAGTTATCGCTGTTGATGATGACTCAGCCATGTTTATGCACTGCATGTGGACGCGCAAGTCGCGCAAATGTTACGTAAATATAAACCTGCGGAGGAAACCCCTCTTGTCTGTCAAAGGGAGAATCTAGTAAATCTTTATGTTAGTAGGCTAACTGTAGTGTGACTGAATTTATAAAAGTGACGAAGTAACGCGTGTCGGGCAATGTTAGTAACTGTAGTGTGATTACTGCATTTATAAAAGTAACGCGATTTACACTACTTCGTTACCGTCAAATGTAATATTATTACAGTCCAACTCTGGTGATAATACACCCGGTTGAATCACAACTGCTGCTGGTGATCAAAAGGCTTTTGAGCAACCCTTTGAGTTTCTGTGAATCGGAAAATACTGCAGCACAGCAGTGAAATCAAGGACAATTTTATCACAGCCAATGCCATAACAGCTTTGATTTATTTAGAGTGGGTGTTATTTTGCAGTCGAGGAACAGAATACTTACAGCACATATGGGACTTTGTTCCAGTGTTGTAGCTGGGCATCCCAAAATACTTGTCGAAAAGATGGGGCCATCCATTATTATCCCCTGAAAGAAGAAAAGACAAACAAAGACATCGATTACAACCCATCATTTGTCCTTTAAAACACAACATCTTTCATTAAGTATACTTTAAAAATGTGTTCCAAAAATGTTCCACTTTGTCAGAAACAGTTTGTCTTGCAGCTCGCTCTCTGATGATACACAGTTCCACCCACACATAAACAAAGATCTGTGATAAAGGTCACTCTGTTGCTATGATGGTCAGCATGCTTCCTTAGTGCTTCTCTTCTGAAGAGTGAAACAGTCCCATGACACTTTTCTGATGTTGACTCTGATGTTCTCACTTTGATTGGCGAGTAGGGGTGAGAAAGCATCAGGGGTTTGAACCTCTCGCTCTTTTTTTCCATTTTTGACAACTCTTCACATGAACAACATTGTTCATGCCTTCAAGAACATATGGTAAACATGTCATTTGAAACGTATTTAATCATGTTGCATAACTCTATATGACGCACTTCGACTGCGACATTCAGACCGACTATGAACCCTTTTGAATTTCCAAAGAAGTCAGGCAACTTGTATTAAAAACAAGGGGTGTACAAAAGTACTGATTGAGCAGAAACCAACATTTAGTCTGAGCAAACTTGAAGGTTGTGAGTTAAGATTGTTTCAAGATGTTAACTCAACTTGAAATGTCTCAACAATCAAAATCCTAAATATACTTAGTTTACATTAACACAATAAGAGAAAATAAAAGTAATTGGAACAAAATAATTGCCTAAATATTTACTCAAATGTTGAGTTATTTACCTAAAAAACGATTTCCTCAACATGTCACTAGATGTCACAAACTATAGCTAGCATTAAGGGTACAACAACCTGCAGAGAAATAATGATTTTAACCTTGAGGTGTGTTACTCCCAGGACAGTACAGAAGCAACTCAGTTTTCACTTGAATCCCTGCGAGACTTTGATGTAGCGTTTGAGGTAATCAGAACAAACTGCTTGTGAGAACCATTTATCCTGCCCGGGCAGACTTGCAAAACATCCAACTTCCGTTTCCAGAGAACTCTCCTCCAAAGTGATTTTCCAACTATCCGTCACCTTTTTTTTTAAGACCCTGGTGCAAAGGAAATAATCCTTAGTCACTGTGCTGCTGCTGTTTTTCTGGCAACTGCTGAGGAAGACTGTGAGATGTAAATGAAATCTTTTAAATACACCTTGAGTGAATATCCCTTACTGTTTCTAAGGTCAATTATGAACTTCACGCTCAACTCTAAATGTCTTGCTTTGTTCAAACAATAATTCAAATCCTGACTATACTAAACGTATATTCTAAGATATCAAGTTTAGACTATATAAAAAACAAAAAAGCAAATCCTCACATCAGGAGAAATGATGTTTGAACAAAGCTGAACTGTATAGGAAATTTGCCAACATTGTGAGAACAGTTTCCTGCAGGGAAATAACTTGAGGTGAGTTTTCATTGAAGCAACCAAGGGCATGACTTCCTGTTTATTGTGTTGGGAAATAGGGGCTCAGAAGGTGTTTACATGGTCTGAAACATAAACACTTTTGGGCGATATTCGGGGGGGATCAGTTTGAGGTCACAGAAGATCATTTAATGGGCCCTAAAATGCACATTTTCAGATTCATATTTGTATTAAGTGCTTCAACTGTTTGATTTGATTTGATTTATTTCAGATGTATAAAACAATAATACAAAACATTTAACATGAGAATTATTATACAATACAAAATTATTCAGTGTCAAATTGATATACACAAATATGAAGGATTCTAAATTATGTATAAATAAATAATCTACTTAATCACACATCCGAAAAGTGTGACACGTTTACATGCTTTAATGTTCAAAATGTTCTTTAAAAACAGATGACACAATTCTTTATCTTTCTACAAAACTTTAATGTAAGGTTAGTTAACATTTCTTGATGCACAATTTTCTATTTTTTACATTTTTGTTAACAAATAATGCTTTAAAAAGTAACTGGGACAAAGTCAGCCACTTGGCCCCCGGTGTAAATGACACCTATGGAAGCAACTCAACTTAAACTTCAATCCCTGTTAGATGTTAAGAGTGTTTGAGGCAGTCAGAATAAACTGCTGTGAGGACTCTGTTTTGTGCAGACCTGCCACACATCCAGATTCCAGAAAAGACTCCTCACAAGTTTCCAACTATCCATCAACTCTAGACAATGGTGCTGTTAGATACTGTATCTTGCAACCTTCGCCAAGAAATAATCCGTATGTCTCTGTGCTGCTTCTGCTTCTCAGGCAACGGTCATTTGAAATACATTAGCCAGCCATTTCATTCTCTCATCTGTAAATGATTCTGTGCAACGAGGCAGTCGTTAAAAGGGGCCCCGTTTATAGGTTTTGTGTATGCAAAGGCTAAAATCCCAAGGTTCCCTCCAGAGGGAGTTTTTCTTTCTTTGAACATTAAAGCATGTAAACATGTCACAGAAGAGACACAAAATGAAAATATTTCCTCTTCAATGAAGAATATACACCGACAGGCTGAGCAGGCCAGCTTATTAAGCGGCTGCACAATTAATAAACCCATGATTTGACTCAAAATATGGATTTAGAATGATTTTATTGATTTAAAAATGACGTATTGCTACCGCTAATACAATAATAGTCTGTTTCATGGCGTACCAACAAATTGAACTACGGCAACAGCAACGTAACCCGACAGCAGCTATGAGCGTGGTTTTCTGTAACTGTAAAGGTCTGTTCACATTTGCTTTTCCAGTAACCAGTCTTAAAACACAGCCAGAGCCCATTTCTTGTTGCGGTTAGAGTTTTCTTCCCGTCTGTCTGCTTCTGGTGACTTCTCTGACCTCCAGCACTCTATCTTTTAACCTCTCATGGGCTTTTCTTTTCATCTTATCATGAATCCAAAGTTTAGTGCTCTCCACAAATAGGAAAATGAATATATAAATAAAAAAGTATTCGATGGTATTTTCTGATTGAGAAAGCAAATGTTTGTTGTCCAAAGCTGATTTTAAAGTTACCGGACTTCTTTCTGCGGATTGATATGACAGTACAGTCAATCAATCAATGTTTATTTATATAGCCCAATATCACAAATGTTACATTTGTCTCAGTGGACTTCACAGTTTGTACAGAATATCAGTATGACAATACGACACCCTCTGTCCTTGGACCCTCACATCGTACAAGGAAAAACTTCCAAAAAATGAAAAACCCCACAGTTTAAAGGGGAACATGGGAGAAACCTCAGGGAGAGCAACAGAGGAGGGATCCCTCTCCCAGGACGGACAGACGTGCAATAGATGCCGTGTGTAAATCGAAGAGATAATACATTTACAGCATAGGTAGACCAAATGTTTGGAAATGCATATGTTTATAATAAGAAGATGAATCCACAAGGATGTCAACAATCCTGTGGGAGCCATCAGGGAAGCAGTATGATGAGTCATAGTGTAGTCCCTTGACCAGAGCGTCCATTTTAGGAACGGTCTGTTCAACTTAGCAGGGGTCTGTCTTTGTGTGACATAAATACATTTGTTCTGGTTTCAAATCAATTACTAAAGGTAAAATACTTTTCTTTCACATCATATTTAGGTTTCCACTGTCAATATAACCACACTGGTAATGACTATCATGACTATATAACACCTCTTATCAGACCATGCAGGAAAGGGTTTCCCGTCATCATTAACACAGCTCTTGGATTATTAACTCGTTAGATGAATAGTTATGTGTTGAAATATACATTACAAAATCATTACAGTTTCAAATCTTATGCTTAATATATTTCATAATATATGTCAGCTATATATGAATCATTCAGATTCACAACTCATGGTGAAGTGCAAAGATATCACCCCAAGATTCCTGTGAAGTAGCTCACAAGGAGAGTATATTGATTCAAAAGGGAGGCACACACCTTGGAAAAAGCTAGATACTGTAGGTGATGGAAAGTCCTCGTGATCTGCATGCTAATTGTTGCCACGCTCGGAAGTTCCTGGATAATATTCCATAGTGAATGCTTACAGGGGATGACATGGGGTGTAGGTTGAAATGAAGATCATACATAGTCAATTATGTGTCTGTTGAGTGGAAAATATTCTCCATACCAATGACGGACTGTGCCTTCAAAACCATTATTGTCTGAAAGCCATTGCCTTTTGAGTACAATCTAGACAAGCTTCCTGCTAATGGAGTTTTTAATGGCATTTGTATAATGGAGCATAGCGCTGATTGGACATTCAGTATATTATAATTATTTCCTGAAATGTCGATTAAGGGATAATCTTACCTTATTTCCAAGGGTTCAGTTTGGTGACCAGGTTACTTTTCTGGAGAGAAACTATGTAAGTTTAATTAATTGTTTTATTTGTTGTAGAGAGAATAAGGGTTTTGTTTACTGCAGCATTAACGCATTTATCTTCAATATAAAAACTAGCTATGTCAAGGATGTGCGAAAGAGAAACTCCCTCTGGAGGGAACACAGGGATTTTATCCTTTGCAGACTATTTACATGCACACAAACCTATATAACACTACATGAAAGGGAAAACCTCAAAAAGCACAATAGGGCCTCTTTAACATGCTGATGAGTGGCAGAAATAACGATTACAATGTTTACTAGGGCTGTGCGATTATGGCAAAAATCATAATCACGATTATTTTGGTCAATAATTGATATCACGATTATTAAATACGATTATTCATTGACTTTGAAAACATCCATTTATTGAACTTTAAAACAAATACAAATAATAATTTGAACAGTATCTTATAACTGTTGATTACCCTGAACGTATAATTCAACTGAAAAACTTTAAATAAATAATATCAAAATAAGAAATACCAATAAACAAGATCAACAAATATTTTGGAGCGCACTTCCAAAAGCTACTAATCATATATAAATATGATAAATACAAATAAATTAGACCAAAATAAATTAGATCAAATATGTTGCACTGTCACAACCTAGCAAAGCAAAATAATTGTTTTATTCGATTATGTTGTTTTCGTAATTGTGG